ATTTACTACAGGCTTTTTGCATGTTTTGCTCTGCAAAACTGGAGGATTTATATAATGTAACTAATTGTTTAATTTAATCATTAAAAGAAAAATACAAATCCACAGATGGAGTATTTTATTCGATGTTTTGTGGGCTGCTACGGCTAGCGTCCTCAGGGAACGTAGCGAGGGCATAAAAATCTTAGCTACGATTGTGCTGGTTACGTTCCCGTCACGCATCCCCAAGGATGCCAGCCAGAGTAGCAGATGAAGCGTCGAATAATTTACTCTATCCATAGACTTACTGAAATAGAAGAACGAATCATGCGTGAATATCAAACCTTCTTTATGAGGAATTTTTGAAGAATGAGTTGGTATTCATAATCTCTTATTTGTTTTTTTTTTTGTAATGAATATTTAACATTACAAAACACTGCATACAATTTTTCATAGCTCTGTCAAATCTACACGTTTTCTTGTTTTTTGTTTTTTTAATTATATTTCATTAATAGCTTTTCTCATTTCATATAATACATAAATAAATAAATAATATTAGTTGAACACTTGATCCATAGATTTTGATCCTAATTAACAAAATAACATATTTGGACACTTGTTGATTTTTTCGAATGGTAACCGGGAATCCGAAAGTTTAGTTGAATAAAGACTAAAGAAACTACCTATACCTCGAAATCCATTAAATAGTTCTAAATATACGATTATCATAACTATGTTGGAAATTTCCCGGTTGTCTTTCAAGTGTTATCATAACTTTTATTACTTCAATTTGCGAATGGATATTTAAAAACGATTAATTTATTTTAGAGTTTAGATAATTACATTCTTAATGTTATTTAGGAGTCTATTGCAGTACATAGATGAAGAGCTTATGTTGAGGTAATTTTTGTGTTTTAGAATTAACATTTTTGCTTTACTAACATAATAAATAATGATGATGATATAATAAAAAAATCAGGAACGGCTTCTTTTTGTTTCTTGGCTTTTTTCGAATTTCTTGGTACAGGGACTTCTTAAGACAAGGGAAAAGGCGAGATTAAGTCAAAAGTGATTGCTTTTTTTTGATTTTATAGGGGAACGTACAAATTTCGTCAAATGGACTCCTACGAACAACAGTAAGTGTACCCTAAAAAAATTCTGTAATTGATACATAGTTATTAGTAACTTTCACGTTTAAAAGATATTCAAATTTATTTACTGAATAAGGGTTTTAGATAAGTTAAAAATGTTTACCGATTTATCAGTTGAAATCTTTTTTCTTAATGGTTATTAAAGTAAAAAGCTTCATATCTTTGACGTTATATTTAAATCATTATAGTAAGTATTGAATTTGGATTGTTTTTTGCTTCAGAACTTGGCATATTACTAAATTAACATATATTTTAAGCTTTTTGCTAATTTTTTTCTTTAAATTCACTGATTGTACGCGATGCACGTATTTCATTATGCTGAAAGCACTTTTAAACTATGTAATTGAACCATTTCTTTACAAATTTTATGTACAGTGAAAATATGACTATTGAGTACGTATATTAAAAAATATATTCGATATAAATTATTTAGTTACATTATCGTTATTTACTGTTTACCTACAACTGCACAACAATATTTTTGATACACTATTTATTTTATTAGTAAAACCCGACTTAAAAAGAATTTTAATTCTACCATCAAAAAGTTTTTGGCTCTGGATGCTTTGTATTTTACAAATAAGCAAAAACAAGAAAATTGAGGGAATTTTAATTATTAATTTTTTTTATTGCAATTAGGGCAACTTTACCAGTTCAAGACACCGAAACAAATGTTCACGTGAAATGTGAAGTTCATACCATTCCTTCTAGTCCAACTAGTGACAACAACACATTCAACGGTTCTCCAAGACGACATTCTTCAGTCGATGAGTTGTATGGTTTGGTCAATTCGATGAATGTCAATGGCCAAAGGCAACGCTCCCTTAGTGATAGTGGTAGAAATGAGAGGACCGTGAATGGTATATTTATTTTATTTATGTTGGATTCGTTTTTATAGCCCTAAAACATTATAGTTGTACATTTACTTATATTTTTATAGGTACAGAGACTGAAATAAATCACGAAGGAAGCGCTCCTGATTTAGTAGTTTGTCCTCCAGTTCCACCAACAAGAAAACATAGAAGAAGACATACCCCACCCCGCCCCCCTAGCAATGGTTTACCTCCCACACCAAAAGTTCACATGGGAGCATGTTTTTCAAAGGTAAATTCTACGGTATACATTTGAGTGTACAATGTACATGGTCTTAATCATAGATCGTCAATCCGAACACTAATTGCAGACGCACCTTTACCTCTTCCTATCCTAAGTCAGTCTAGCATTTATAACTGTTTTGAAACTATAACAACCCACATCCTTAACTATTTGCATATCTCTATCTCTCTTTTCTGTGTACAAAGTTCTTTCGGTGTTTTCCCGAATGAATTAATATTGAATTTATAAACATAAAAATTGTTTAGGTGTTTAATGGCTGTCCCCTTCGCATATACTGCACTGCATCCTGGATTCATCCTGATACTCGCGATCAACACATTCTAATAGGGGCGGAGGAAGGGATTTACAATTTAAATTTGAACGAGTTACACGAGACGTGTATTGACCAATTATACCCAAGAAGGACCATTTGGATGTATGTCATCAAAGATGTACTCATGACATTATCAGGTAAGTAATCGACCTTATTTATATAAAATATTGTTGAAGATAATGCATTTTGTGTTTTTTTTAATGTAGTGACTTTAAAGGAATTTTTGTTTCAAAACCCAAAAGAATTTTGAAGCTTATATTACTAATTTCGATATTATTTTAAAGGTAACGGTAATGCAAAATTCAGTAAAGATTTTATGACAACTTTTTTTTTTATTCAATTAACATTTTACTGAAAACCTCTTTAAAGGCGATTCTATTTCAGGGAAAACCCCACATTTGTACAGACACGACCTGTTGGCGATGCAAAGTAAACAATCTCACAGGTTCAGTATTCATATGAACCGGATACCAGAAAAGCTTGTGCCGCGCAAATTCGCTCTGACGACGCGCGTACCGGACACGCGCGGCACGCTCAAATGCTGCGTGTCACGGAATCCGTATAACGGTTACAAATATCTTTGCGGCGCCACCTCGTCTGGCATCTACCTCATGCAATGGTATGACCCACTGAATAAATTCATGTTGCTAAAGGTACCGTCTTTTTTTTACTACCTTTATTAAGTATCATTTAACTTCAATATATTTGATTGCAGCATGTAGAATGCACTTTACCGAATCCACTAAACGTTTTTGAAATGATAATAACCCCAGAGCTGGAGTATCCGGTGGTTTGCGTATCTGTAAAGCAAGCATATCAACCTAACAGATTCAAATTGGATTTGATCAATATGAATTCAGGTGAGTGGCTTATACGTGTAGAATTATACATAAAAGAAATTTTGATTGCTTTCAACACTGGCCAAATTAGTATTACGTAGTTAATATCAGCAATTTCTTATGTTGAAGTGTACGATGTGTTGCATACCTATTTACAAACAATTTTTTTAAATTTTGATCATTGATTACTATACAATCTATTAAAAAACCATAATGGCCGACATCAGTGACAATGCGACAACAATTGAAAAAGAATGATGGCCGACAATGCGACAACAATTGAAAAGGAATGATGGCCGCTAACAGCAACAATTAGAAAAGAATGATGGCCGACACTACGTCATAATATTGTTCACAAAAGTGAAGAAGTGAATTTCGACTCAAAGCAATAATGCTAACAGTTTCGAGCCCACGGTGACTGATAGGGGGGAAGAACTAGTTGGCATAATAAAAATTAACAAAACGTGAATGTATGTATATAAAGGGGCACGCATATGATTGTAAATCGTAGTCTGAATAAATAAATGTGCGCTCATGCAAAAACTATGTAGACGACAACGATGACTTTAACAGCTGCAACTAGACGTATTCTCTTGCTACGGAAAAGAGGGGCAAACAACGTTGTTTTCTTCCTCATCATAAAGTAAACGAAGCTGCGCATCATTTGCGTGAGTGGCCTGATACTGTACTATAAAAAGTATCACCACGCAGGCGAAATTGCGGAAATCAGCTGATATTAAATATAGTAATAATAATGTTTTCAACTAAACGGTTTGGTTAAAACTCTTCCCTAAGACGTTGGAGACAATATTTTTTTAGATTTTGCTAAAAATTTGAAAAAACAATAAAGACGTCATAATTTCAGGTGCGAGTTGGTTCCATTCGGACGAATTGCAAGACATGGATGGTACGACTACTGTTATACCAAAACGCGAAAATTTAAACATTGTCCATGTGTCCCAACTAGAAAAAGATTCAATTCTCATTTGTTACGACAACGTAGTCAAAATTGTTACGCCGCAGGGTAAAGTGAAAATTAGCAAAAAACAAGTGTTAGAATTAAAATTCGAATTTCGAATAATGAGTGTTGGTAAGAAACTTAGAACTTTTCAGTTTGCCTAGTGAAATACTAATTAATTATACTTTTACATTACAGTTTGTCTGCCGGATAGTGTTCTGGCATTCCATAAGCATGGCATGCAGGGCCGGTCTTTTAAAAATGGTGATATTACTCAAGAGATTACAGATCTTTCGAGAACTTACAAATTATTGGGGAGTGACAAGTAAGTGTCTATCTTTTTATTAATTTAGTTCGTGAGATACTACAGGTAAATTCGAAATCGCTTAATTAACCACAACTTTAAATTTATTTTTAGAGTTGTAGTGTTAGAAAGTAATCTTCTTCATTCCGGAACGTTGACAGGGGAGGAGGGGCATGATCTTTACATATTAGCCGGTCACGAAGCGAGTTATTAGGTTTACTAAATTAAATACATACTTTAGGTGGAATTGATTTTTTTTCTTCTTAAGACGGTGGTTTTTAACAATTCGGTATAACTTCTTATAAGCCACCCTAGTAAAAAAATAATAATAACTAATAACAAAATTAATTTTTAAAATATTGAGCAGTATTTATTTTAGATACGGTAGGTACTGGTTATTTTTGACTACCGGTCCCTGTGTAACACTAGCATTTTGATACCAACATTTCGTCAGGCATGACAAAAGAAGACATTAAATCATCTGGATACTAAACACATTGCGTTAAGCACAGGGCCTATGTATAAATTTTTATTATAACACCTACCTATTTTAAAGATAAAACGTAATCTACTTGATTTTTTGTATGTGTTACTACAAAAAAGTGAGTAGTCGCCAATGGTGTATAACGTATAACTTTATTAATTCTAAGCATATGTTTAGAAAAAATGCATGTCACTTATGTTGTTTTTGTCATTCTCCCTTTTATTCTTTACTTTTTCAAACGTCAATTGGAAGTATCATCGACTCTCCCTCTTTTCTTCTTGTAAGACGTTTCTGTTTCACTTCAAAAACTCTCAATAGCCAAAATTAAAGATATTACCCTGTTTTTATTATTTTTTATAGTAATACGTTTTAGTACGTATATGGTTTTAATTTTTTAAACAACAACAAAAAATATCTGTTATTTTCAGTTTATTTATTTAATTTAAATATTGCAGTTTGTTTTTATGTTTTCTTTTTATCTAAATGCAATCTCTTGCGGAAGGAATTTTAATTACTTACAATTACGATTAAATGTAATACAACATTAATGTTTTTCCTTTTTATTTTTCAGTTCGGGAGTTGCAAGAAAAACTTGTGCAGGCGGAAGAAAAATTCAAAGATCTGTCCTCAAACACGGACGTAAAAGTCGACAAGAATTTAATCAAAAGTTTGCTTATTGGTTTCATTACGTCAAGCCACAATACAAAAGATCAAAATCAAATCTTAAAAATAATAGCTACCGTTTTGGACTTTAATCAGCAAGAAAGCGAGAAAGTAAAATTGAATCAAATACATCATGAGGGTTGGTTGAATTCCCTTTTGCATCCCCAAAATGCAAAAGTAAATAACGATGAAAGCAAAGAATCGTTGTCACAGGCATTTGTTAGGTTTCTGGAAGCGGAATCAAAACCTACAGTTATTCCTAATTTGCTTTCCTCCACTATTACTACTAAGTCAACAGGGGATAGTAGTAAAAGTAGCAGTAAAAGACAGTCGCCCATACTTCTAAGTGAAGTTGTGTTGCCAACATTTGCCGACTTTGGTCAAAGCCGAAGTTCGAGTTCTATACTCAAAGACGTGCTAAAAGATAATAGCTAAACTGTTGTCCAACTGTTAAATTTGTTAATGACACGCTTTAATTACCTAATTAATACATATGTACATATATTAAGTTGTATTCGTTATTATTGTTATTCCTAAGGGATCAAAATTGTATATTATTTTAATAGAAAAATGTTATTTAATTTATGCTATTTAAATAAAAAATTGTAAAAATATTGTAATTCAAACAAGTTTTTTAATTATAACTTTAGCCGTATCTTTTATAAGTAGAATACTTTATAAAATTTCTAGTTTAATGCTGTTTTGTTCTGACTGAAAGAAATTTATCGTTTTACGATATTAAAACAGAAGTAAATGCTATTATTTCGTTTGTAGGGCAGATTTAACTTCTTTTTTTGGGAACTTTTCATTTAAAATTAAGGCAGTACTGATATTTTTTCATAAGCTTTATTACCAGTATATACAAAAGTTGTGTAGAGATTGTTTCTTCTAAAATTACATAATTAGCTTCAACGCTTTTTTAAATTGAATGCGGAGGTATGCTCAAATGTATTAAACAATACTTATCCTTGTTGTACGAATAGGTTAAGTCAGGTTAGGTTTTGGGGGAAATTTATCCATTAAGAACTAGTAAAAATAAGTAACATATCCACTGTTTTTTATATTTATTCATTTATTGTGGACTTATGGTTTCCTTCGAAATTTTCAATTATATGTCCCTTTGTATATCTATTATCTATGATATGTCTATGGATTACTATTTGTCATGTATCTGTCTGTCAAATTTGTAGTCTTTTCAGACAAGTACNTCTTTCGATCTCCCCTACCCTATTTCGATTTCCCCTATCCCCATCTAACCCCCATAACTTTTTATGGGGGTGAGACCACCACGAACTTTTTATGGTACAGTGGTGGGGGTGACCTCCTCTTTCGATCCCATCCACCATCTAGACATTTACCTTATTTTTTAACTCTAAATAAACATCGTTTATTACTTTTGAATCACACCCTCTTACATAGGTATTCCATTCGTTATGACACCCTTATGTATGCATGTATATACTTATTAAGGTTCATGTCAGCTGGCATTCCCCTAATTCATGAAAAAGATACAGAAATCTTTGTGTGGAACTGTCTGCTTCGCAGTTCCAAAGGCGTGGCGTTTAACTGTTGTGCACATGCGCACATACAACCTGAACGTTGTATGGAAGAAACAGCACTGCGTTATCGCAACGCCGACCCTGGCGTGCTGGTGGAAGGGAATTTTTTTTTTACTTTTGCGTGTGTATGGCATTTGTTTCCTTTTACACAATTTTAAAACAGGCAACATCCCCACCTATTTCAACTACAAGCCTCGACTGGTAGGTAACAACTTTAAGTAGGTACATATAGTTAGTTTTTAAAATGGCTGTTTTCCATTCTTCGTTACTCGAAAAATTTCAAAACGTGCTCAGCAACAATGGGTTCCAGCCAGTGGTATTGGTTCATACGATTAGTTAGTTGAAAACATTATTATTTTCAACGGAATTTCAATAGGAAAACGAACAGAAATGCGGGTAGCAGTACATAGACGAGTAGGCTCTGTATTATTGTTTCTTATCGCGGGAACATGCGCATTGTGCGCACGCTGATTGCGCTTTTCAGCTTTAGCCAACTCATTTACACCATACATGTATTATATTATTATGTCTCGTAATCCAGTTACCTTTGACTTCGTACCTGTTTGAACGCGGTTGAATTTGTTGTACGGTGGCTTTATTGTAAGAAACAAGTGCGAGTCATAAACAAAAAAAAAATGCATCTCATAATAAAAAAAAAGTACCTATCGCAACAATGCGTACGCGATGTGCGTTTGTTATTGTTTTTTCCTGTTGAAGACTTTTTTTTTAAAACGTGATTTAAAGGTACGTGTTTTTTTGTTACAACATTATACCTGATTTTATTTATTAATAACACTATTATACTATTGGACACATACACATTATAATGCGTTCGCAAAAAAGTATGTATATGCCTAAATCAGTTGTTAATATAAAAAAAAATGTTTATACTGTTTTATTTTATTGGCGTTTGTTAGTTCGATTATCGATAATTTTTTTAATGGTTTTATGTAGTAGTATGCTCAAGTGTTGGGCGGTTTCCATTTTTAATCGTAAGTCCATTTGTTTTTATGGGAAAGTTATCTGAACGCTTACACTTAATACCTCCCTGGAATTAATTTAAATAAAAAGTCCCCGTGTTTTATCATAGTCGCAATAACTTACAAGCAAACTCAGTTTTTATATGTTACAATAACGAATGGTCCGTATTAGTAAAAAATAAATTAAGATAGGCATCAAGGTGGCTCACACTATTCGGAATTATTGTTGTTAAAGTTTAAAAGTAAAACACTTCGCGTCGATAATTTAGAAATTAAAAGAGAAGACATTTCAAATACAATGAATTAATATGAAACCTATATTTTTTTAGAATGCATTCATATCAAAATAGAGCAGCACTTGGTTATAACATCACCCTATGAACCGGAGATATTTTGACGTAATAACCGGTGAGAGTAGTTATTAACGGATTATAAACTGAACAATTTCGGAAACTACACTAACTATGATGTGTAGCAATAAAAGTTTTAATTTTTGTCGACATTACCGAGATTGTTACCGTTGATTTGAATGGTAATTTTATGCGACTTTTTATTAAAAACTGACGTTACATCAGAATTGTCGTTATAACCGATGTTCCACTGTAGTGCGTACTTCTTTTGTTGATTACTCATCGTTGGCGTGTTATTTCGATGCCCCATTTTTTGCTTTTGAAAACTTGAGATCAGACGTGACCATAATACAGATACAAATGCATGTGTGTTTGTATTATAATTGTATATTATTGTATTGTACTCATGTGGCATTACGAACGAGTTGTTGGAGGTATGTTCGCGCACCTATTATTTGTTCAACTATCAAAGTTTAATGTTTAAGTATGATTAGATTTAAGAGGTATTGCGTTACTTTATTGAAAACGACTTGGTATTTGTGTACCATGTGCACATTTGTGTATATTTACGCATATTTTAAGAAACAACATTGTTTATTGAAGACTCGCGATAACTTGTACAGGATGTTTGGGTTTGTTTTGCCTTCTTTAGATACGAGCTAGCCTTTATAATATTCGCATTCGAACATACAGTCTTACAAAATAAATGTGTTGATTTTAGCAATGTTGTCTGAAGTCTGACCCAGGGTTTTTCTTTTAAGTTGGTTAAATAAATAAAAAATTATTCTACCTCGAATTACACATCACAAGCCTCATATTAACCACCTACAGAATCTTGATACCATTTTTCGAGACCTTGTTATTTACGATCACACTTAGAAACAATCGAAAATTCGAGCAGCGTCTAACTTTAAGTTTTTGTGTGAAACATTTATTATAATATTCAAAATAATATTTAAATACATGTAATATTCCAATAAAAAAAATGATCCTTTTTGATATCCAATTAGTCTCATATCATTTGCTTTCGACAATTAAAAGTTGTAGTCACTCCACTTTTACGATTAGCGTAGCAGGCGACCGATGCAGCACGAATTAGACCGTTGAAAGTTAATAAATCATTATTGCTGCCTCAATTTCAATTGAAAAAGAAAACAAGTG